TTTAGAGTAGGTTCTAGCATAGCAGAAAAGGTTAGTTATAAAATTTACTGTTTAATCTGTATTTCAAAAATCACTGTAAGCCACATTTTTAGGAGAAGTAGTAAGAAACTCTGTAAGAAAAACTTGGAGGTGAGGGCTTTATGGATTTTTATTTAAAAATATGCTCTTGGTTAATAAGTGTGATAAATATAGCTGGTTATTCTTAGGTGTGAGCATATGATGTAGGAAGAGAAGGTGAAGGTGGGGGGAAGAAATTTTTGACTTCCGTTGCCAAGAGAAGGTTCAAGAAGAGGTGGTGGCAGGCTGGGGCAAGTCTCCATAACATTATTTTCTTGATTTAAAAGAAAAAAACAAATGTTTTTAAAGAATTTGATATGTTTCTTCCATGGCCCTTAATCACATACAAACAAACTCAGTTCTTTGTTTTTATAAAATCCTCTGCCTTTCACATGAACATGTGCTTTGGTCTTTCTCAAGGAAAGGCAGCGCCTCTCAGAAGACATTGATTTCGTATCCTTTAACCTTGTCTTTCYATCACTTACCATTCCTTATCAGCTGCCATGAGCTTGAAGACTTCAGAGACTTGTCTGTAGGCTCTGTGAYTTTTATTTAGTTCATATTGATGTAAATGCAGAAATAGAAAGGTTTTGATGATCCCTCATGGGTCTTTGGGATGTTGTACTATGTCTTCTCATTATGCCCATAATGAAGATTTGTCTTTTGTCTTCATTTCGTTCCATATTTACAAAAAAATAAGTAAAAAAAGTCCGCTAAGATATTTGTCCTCACCCAGGCAGTATAAAATGCATTTAAATTATATAGTCTAAGCTATTGTGAAATAAGGATAGAGCCTTGTAAAAAAAGAGTAGGAACACTACATCTTCAGAAATTATTACTTCAAATTAATTATGTCAAAACTAGTTACACTTTTCTTTATGCTCTTGCCCAACCCAAGTTTCTTCTGTCTTTTTTTGGGTACTTTCTGTCTTTTTTTGGGTACTTTCTGTCTTTTTTT